CTCTCCCACCTCACCCCTCCCACACACCCTGACCCCTCCCCCACCTGACCCCTCCCACACACCCTGACCCCTCCCACCACCAGGACACGGAGAAGAAAGAGAAGACGATCCTGCCAGGGGACAGCGGAGCGGACAAAGCGGCGTCACAAGCGCGTGTGGTCTCCCCCGTGGAGCTAGAACTGGGCGGGCTCATCTACGCCCCGCCCCCGATGTCCACCGCCCTCCCCGAGCTGCAGAAACAGCAGATGTCCGCGGGTGAGGAGGCTCGGGAGGGAGGAGGAGGAGGGGAGGAGGAGGGGGAGGAGGACCACGTGGTCTCTATCGTGATGGGAGACGACAACATGGACGTCCATGAGGACAAGTTTTACGACGCCCGGCAAGACGAAGGGGTCGCTCTCACTGATAATAACAACGACGATGACAACGAGAACGGTGATGATAACAAAGGGTCGCGACGAGTGCGTATTGCGGGCGACAAGGACAAAGATAAGGAAAACCACGACGTTGATGATGATGATGATGATGATGATCACGTTGGCAGCGTCAGCGAGAACGGAGATATCGATGACACCACGCCTAAACAGCCCAAAGGTCGTCATCAAACAGAGGAAAACAAAGAGGATGATGATGATGATGATGATGATGAGACTCTAGATGACGAGGGTTTCCCACTTGACCCATACAGCTACGTCCACCCTCCCCCCACCACCCACACGTCGTTCGCCCGCTACGAGAAGTTCCTCCAGCGCTCCTACGAGGACCTGCTCACCGTGCACGCGCCGCACGACGACTCCAGCTCCGTGGTGAGTGACGTGTGCAGTCCCCGGCCAGACCTACGTCACCAGCCCGCCCTCCACCAATCACAGCACGCCTCCCCTGCCCCCACCCTCCCCGCGGACGGGCTGTCTAAGCTACGAGCCACCATGCCAAAGTTCTCCAGCAGGGCCGCCGCCTACTCCTCCTTTCGACACTCGCATCCTACGACAGCTGCCACAGACCACGCCCCCCGGGAGGCGGGCACTACCACCACACTGATGGTGGCCCCGCCCAGAGAGCGACAAATGAGCTACAGTGATTGGCTGGGGGCGGGCTACTACACGGACGACTACAGGGACGACAGGCCGGTGGGGGTGGGGGGAACGCACGGGAGGCAGGAGGCCAGACACGCGGAGCTGGAGGAGAGGGAGGAGGAGAGGGAGGAGGAGAAGGAGGAGCTAGAGGTCACGGGCCACGGGGTCACAGAACAAGAGGTCACACCGGAGGAGGGCAAAGGTGAAGAGGAAACAGCGCCTGAAGGCAAAGGTGGAGACGAAGAGACGGGGCAGACAGACGGGGTGAGTACACAGATCTCTTAGCTACAGTTAGAGTTTTATGGCACTTGCAACACAATCAGGTCATAGAAGTGCCAAAGATACGAGGTGTTACTACAAAGTAACATATAAAGAACAGAAGAAGACATAAGGAGGACAGATGTTGGACAGGAAGGAAGGAGCACACCACAGCAGAGCACCTGCCAACCACCCACTATCAGTGGTGTTACAAGAGGGTAACATACGGCGAAAATAAGGAAAAGAGATTAGCAAGGTAGATGTTTGATCAGAAAGAAGGCACAAACCATGCCCGAGCACCAACCAACCGCCCATTGACCCTGGATCTAAAAAGTACAAACTTTAACCCTGCTGAAAATAAACAAAAACAAAAACAAAGAACTTTACTATCCCATAAAAACAGTGAGCTTACCTTCCATAGCAGCAGCTTGATTCCTGCGCTGATCTCCGGATCAAAACGGGCGAGAAATCCTGTCTGAAATACACAAATCACAAACAGGTGAAACAATGAAAGGGCTTATCGTTCTTGTCAGACATTTGGGGAGAAAAGGCTCGGTTTAAAAAAAAGTATTTTTGGTGTTGTTGTTTTTTCAAGTAAGTTTTCGTAGGAGTTTTAGGGGACTTTCAACTCCAACAGGTCATAGTGTAACTAGCATAAGTGTTTTACGGCACTTTCAACTCAAACAGGTCATAGTGTAACTAGTATAAGAGTTTTAGGGCACTTTCAACTCCAACAGGTCATAGTGTAACTAGTGTAAGTGCCAAACATCAAGGTGCTGCTGTGTTATAGACAAAACAAACTAACTAACTAACAAACTGTTAAACAAACTTTGGATGACACACGCATTGTTTGTACATCAAAGAAACAGTAACTCTGTGTGTGTGTGTGTCTGTGTGTGTGTGTGTGTGTGTGTGTCTGTGTGTGTGTGAGTGTGTCTGTGTGTGTGTGTGTGTCTGTGTGTGTGTCTGTGTGTGTGTGTGTGTCTGTGTGTGAGTGTGTCTGTGTGTGAGTGTGTGTGTATGTGTGTGTGTATGTGTGTGTGTGTCTGTGTGTGT